GTCACCTGTTCCTAAGCCGGCGTGCTCCAAGTATTCCCGGCTGTAGCGATATCTGTAGAGCTTCATTTTTGACACATTTTTAAGTTGTTCACTTGTGTCCACCTGAATCAAAACCAACGACAATCAAAAGGAACAGCTTTAACATGTCTTTCTCGAGCTTATGAAGACAAAACGTGACGGAGGTTTTGGATGTCTAGCCTGCGTGCAGACGAAATTAAACTCTAATTAACTCCGTCTGCCAAACAGCGCCGAAATCCTTGTTCTGGACTTCCAGCTGTGTACCCAGATTTGAGTACGCACCACGATTGGCCAGTTAAAAAAGACCTTCGTTTTGTTTGTCGCAAGACTGATAATAGCCAATCAGGTTGAAGGGAAATTCGAAACGCACTTCCGGTAATTCGTTGAGTCGGTTGGGGGTCCAGAATAAGGATCTCTGCGCTGCTTCGCAGACGGTACTAATCAGAGTTTAGTTATCGTCTGCACGCAGGCTATGGATGTCGGGCATTACAATAAAGTTTTAAACTTCGTCGAAACCACACTCTTAACAATTAACTATTTGAGATTATACAACCGGTGTCTGCAAATCGGATGAAACATTCCCTCTAGTGTTTGATACTAAGGACCTTAAGGTACTCCGTTTGTGGCACGGGAAAAATAGAAACGGGGTTTTGTGAAGGTAGCTGTAAGTAGCGCTGTCCGCTTACGAGAGTGTTCGCTAAGAGAGCTTTCACTTGTAATAAAGATTAGATTGATCTGTGCAATGTAAAGAGAGAGTTTTGACTGGTTTAGGGACCATGGTATACGAATTACAGTTCAATCCTTAAGAAAAAGATGCCATTTAACTTCTGCCTGGTACAACTGTGGTTCTTCAAAAATGAAACAGGCATATTAATCAATGTTTTTATTTTCCTTTTGTTATTCATATTTCTAATGAAACAGTTATCCTACACGCGCCTATTTCCTACCAGACGGTTGGTACATGTCCCACATACCTCTTCAATGGATTCCTTGACTCTGCTGTCAGAGGGATGAACAAGCCGCCCCGTCACCTTTAGGTTGCCATGAACTGACAGAGCTTCTTCTGGTTTGTCAGTATTGATGCCAACGCGACCCTAAAAATATCACATTTATATGGGGTCAGAATGTTTAGAAGTGCTTTATCCTGCTCAGCTGCAGGGTTCAGAGTGTGCGCATGCTTTTTTGGGGCAGAGCCGCCAGTAGAGAAAGGAGAGTTTCGGCACTAACTCATTCCTATTCTTTTCGCAGCTTTACAGCCCAAACAAAGGCCACAGAAAGTACCCGTTGAATAAAGCAAACGCGCGCGATAAGTCCAGCCCGCTACGGAGGCCAGAAGTGCTTGTTGTTATGTTTCCAGAATCGTTGAAGTGTTTTCTACTAACAGTACGTCAACACAGTTTACTTGTATAAATGTTAAATAGAAATTCTGCTGCAACGGTCTAGTTTCATTTAAAACTTTGCTTTTATTATGATGAATGATGAAGACGTTGCGATAAAGTTGGGCAATTTTGCCACTTTTCAATGAAAAACAATCCAGTCCGTAGCTTTTATCATTTATTACAGAGTATAACGTGTCTCGTAAGTGTCATAGAACCGCAAAGAGAAACTGACGGTGGCCTCAGATGGCCCAGATCGATAAATTAATCACCACGTAAAAACGCTTTCCCTGGTTATGGTTCATTTCTTTCTGCAAATAATATTGTCCTCGTGTTTAACAAGGGCAGCAAAGCTCACTGGTAGAGAGTGTAAGCTTATGTTACCTTTTCGACTTTCGTCTGCCATTGTGAAAAGGTTTCAAGTCAAAAGGTTTTCCCTTTCGAGTTTTTGGACTTAAGGCTGAACACACATGCTGATTAAGCACTCTGTATTGGGGCCTTTTTGGTGATAATAACTTCAACAAACAAATACGCTATCTTAAAACTAAGTTAAATAATATGCACATTCTAAGTTTAACACTTTCCCTACCATTCGAAAAACGGAGTCTGTAGTTTGACCTCGGGACCAAATAACCTCCATATCATTTTCAAACTGGCCTGGATTGGAAGCCTAAAAATTATTTATTCAAGTATCAGAATCAAAGTACACTATGCGGAATTTTCTTTCCGGTTCGTAAAAAAAACTATGGGATAACACGAGATGCAACGGAGAATGGCCGGGATTAGAAAAGGTGCATTTACAGCAGTCAAGAGATGCAGTGTTCTGAAGAAGGTACATGTATGTGAAAGGGTTAGAGTACCAATTGCGAATAAGAGGTATGAGAAAGGGGTACCTTTTCTAACAAATATGGTATGTAAAAGGGGGCAAGGGCTTGGATCTAGGGGCGGAACCTCCCCGTATAAAACTACGGTGAGTGCACCCGGGGGAAGGGTATGATTTTTTGTCACACATGGGCAAATTTTACTTGCACATAGTTTGATGATTGAATTGTTATTTGCAGCTCCGATCAACCTGTCTCAAGGCATGATGAACAACAACAAATTCCTCACCCTAACAATAATCCTCTCTGAAACATTGGCACAGACTAAATATTCTTTGTTCTTTGAATGCGCATAGACCGCCACAACTAGCAAGAAGTATCTGTGAATGTAATCACTCAGTCAATCAATTAATTAATTATATATAGCTCATGAATCAAATTTTCAAATGTAACTAAGACTTGAAAAGGAATAAAATGGAAAATAAAGCAAATGTTTTGTCAAACATCAAGAATATCAACGTGAATGAACCTATAAGTATCTACACTGTATATAGCCAATCGTCAACTCTCAAGTAATAAAGCAAATGTTTTGTCAAACATCAAGAATATCAACGTGAATGAACCTAGAAGTATCTACACTGTATATAGCCAATCGTCAACTCTCAAGTCTCCTATAGTCTCCGCGGCAGGATTAACTCAGTCGGTAGGGCGCTTGACTGCAGAGTGGGTGGTTCCGGGTTCGATTCCTGGGGCTGGACCATTACTCAAGGTCTTAAAATAACTGAGAAATAAAGGTACTCCTTTGCACTGCGCGCTAGCCGCTTGACCTTCGCGTGGCTCGGATGACCAGGTAAAAAGGCGGTCCCGACTCCAGTAGGAGACGTAAAAATAGTGTCCCCAGTTAGCACTTTCGTTCCAAATACATTGACACTCAAATGCAGTGCCTTTTTTTTATATAGTTCAGTACATAGAACATCCAATCTGTAAGTCATATCTGCCATCTGGAGGACTATTGTTTTGACTCTTGATGGCAAAATCCTAAACATTTCTTCTGAGCCTTCTGTTACCAATGACCATTTGGTCTTTCTCGGCCAAAAGTTCACATACTGTTAGAAATAATCAAGGAGCATTGCTGCAGTTACCTTTGGTCAGGATTTGGTTTTCCTTTCTTTCTCATGTTGTTTGCTGTTGTTTCACTATAAAAGAATTTGTGGATATGTAAGAGACCCTGAGAGTCTGCATAAACATCTTGAAACTTCTACTTCCCTTAAATAAGTATACTGTATTCCCTCCAGAAGGGCCCCTCTACCCCCTCCTCTAAGCCAAATTTTTGCCCTGGGGAGGGGTGGGTGGGCAGTTTACCAGAAACCGTAATTGATCCATCCAGTGCAATTGAAAGAACTGGTTGATAATTGCTGCTTCATTTGAAGTTAAATATCCTCAAAGGCCTCACTCCTTTCATCTTTCAAGAGGAAATTACGGCTATACATGCTATGAATGTGTGCTGTCTTTGAAAACCAGTGGATGCTCCGGGCATGAATGTTTGCATGCAAATTCACAAATTCCTATAATCAAGGGTAATTATGCAGGAAAGTTCTCTAGTTCCAAAGTCGGCCAATACGCAGCACTGACTGTATGTAATTGAAGGGAAAATACCAAGGTGTACTTAACTGAAAAAAGGGACTGATAGGATGTAAGGCCACGAAAAACAGAAACTGAAATTCAAACGCAAATATTATATAACCTTGTCTCTGGCAGAGAGAATGATAAGGTTCGACAATGCAGTTCTAACGTTTGAGTCTGTTACAAAATTCTGAGATGTGCCCATTTTTAGAAATGAAACTTCCTTGTCAGTAGTTTCATTAAGGTTATTTCTTTTGATTTTTAAGCATTTCACCCATGAAAATATAAAAATTTTGTAGATTTGACTTCTGGGAGTGAAAGGGTTAAAAAAGCTCGGGGTGTGCAAATCTTCATTAACACATGCCTAATTACAGACAAAGAAAATGCACTTGTCAACAGTACCTAAAATGTAGTCTTCCAACTGTGATCTTTGCTTGTTCATTTGGTGATATGTGAAATCTGAAAATCATTTAAATATCAGTAGAAGTAAGTCTTTAGCAAGTACAGTTGCATCCCTATAAGAGGTCACTGCCAGAGAACAACTATGTGGTTGCTTTAATAGTTAAGGTTGGCTGTGGGGAGAGATTCTGTTTACAGCAATTTTGTAATTACTGGCATTTTTTCTCCTGGAACCTGGTCACCTGATAGCTAAATGGATGGCAGCTCAACTGAGGTCGGACTGTAACCAAAAATATCAGTCTTGCAAATTTACTAAGAACAAATTTTACCATAAAAAAAAACCTGTAAAAAAATTAAAGAATAACATACTGTAAAGGTTCATAGTGACGTTTGCTTCTGTCAGCCTGAGACTGTTCCACGCCAATTCTACTAGCCTGGGACTCCATCTAAATAAGTGGAATAAATATTTATAGTACTTACAGTGTATGTATATTAGGCCTAACAACTTAACTAGTGGTTAAATGGACAGCGAGAGCTTAAAAGAGAGGGTGTGTTATTAGAGAGATCAAAAAAGGCCCACAAAGGGTTAAATTAAGGATTGAAAAAGTTCAATATTTTTTTGGCGACTGGGAAAAATCTTTTCAAAGATTTTCACAATAAGACCATATCATGTGGTCAGGTCATAATGTTCTCAAAAAGCCATGCAATCTCACACACCTTAATTCCATAAAGATGTAAACAGAACTTCTCGATACGTCTCAGCTCATTTTGCTGAAAAAGGACAACTTTATAATGAGATATTATAAGAGTAAAAAATTCAAACTTCTACAGTACATTATAACTACTACACCCACCCAGTAAATGGCAGATTGCTTGAAGGCTCTTGGTAGAGCCCTTTCATATGATAATGGCAAGGTTTAACTTAAAAAAGTGTTTTATGATTATAACCACTGATGGAGGTGGAACACAAATGGCTCAATTTTATATTAACAGCTTTGAATGAACTCTACTGGTTTAAGTGATAATGAGCACTTCCCTTTTAACAAGAAATTCCACAATTTAAGTTTGGGGTGTAAATGAAAAACATACGTTTTTGGACATCCCACAGGAAAATTCCCAGGAATGGAAAAAGAAAATACATGTTTCATTAACAAGTTTTCATAAGGATTCATCAGTTCCAGGCTGATTTCATGGCAATATTTTTGCCACCATCTTAAATTTTGGCAAGAGAGAGAGGAACAAACAAGCTCTACTTGTGTCAAACAGAACATGTTCTTCACCAAAGGGGCCTTTCCAGTGAAGTTTCCCAAAGTTTCTGGTAAATGAAAAATGCCCAATGTGCAAATTAAAGAAGGGATAAATTACTGACATGAAATTTCAGCTGATGCCAACTAACCTCCCCTCTGACATATTTGGGAGCTTGTTCTGATTGAAGGCTCATGTATGCTGTTACCTGTAAGACAATTATTATACCTAATTAGAATACATAATATTATAAAGCTAAACACCCTTCAGCCAAATAAGAGCAGTTTGACCTTCCCTTAAACAGGAAAGCCTTTTTTCATGGCAAACAGCGCACACAAAGTTAAGCTTGGTTACATATAATGAAGCCACACTAAGAGACTTTAGGTTAGTTGGAAACAGGACATGAAATTTTAATTTTCCACACATGGTAGGTTTCACTTGATGGTCTACGGGTTAAGTGTTTTAGATAGCCAAATTCCAGGAATGCCAAAGAGTTTTTTTCACTATAGTTACAGCCCTGGGATGACTGTAAGGACACAAGGGAATCTGGGTCTGTGATGTTCCTTACTGCAACACTTATGTCTAATAAAAATGTCGCAAGCCCCAAATCTCCAAACCAGTGAACTTATGTTTTATTACCTTTCATAATATTCTAGAATTTGGTCAATCAAACAGGTCATCTAATCTGTACATTTAAATAGTGCTCAATCATAAATAATAATACAAATCAAAATATATATAATCCATTAATAACTTTTGTTATGGTCAAATACCTGAAGGTGATTCTTCTTTTGACAAACAAAGGCCTCGTCAGCAAATGAGTAGTTAAAACCTTTATCAGCATCCACTCTGAAGAGAGGAGGAGGTCTAAAGAGGACAAGTACAAATATTATTATGGAAAAATATCACACAAATACTATACACATGCTGAATTTGCCTCCCTTCTTTCCAAAAATGTCACTTCCCAGTGGCACGTGACTAACAACTGCAATTTCATTTTCAACATTAAGTTACCAGAGCAAAACTAATGCTGAGTAAACTGTGAATCACAAAGGGACACCTTTGGAGGCATGAGTGATTAATTTGTAGTGTTGCTGGAACAACTGTACCATGGGTACCAGAGACTTTTCATGGACAATTTCTGGTTTCACTCAAGTCTATAGTGGTCTGGCGAAAAGCTTTGCTGCTTGGCCTTCAGCTTCCATCCAAAGACACCAGCATATCTGCCAACACGTGAGAAAAAACCTTCTGGTATCCAGGATAGAAAATCTGAGATAAAGCTAAGACAACAAAAGCAGGAAGAAGACTTACATTCTCTGGGAGGCATCATCATACATGATACAGCACTCATCAGGTTTAAATGGTAACCACTTAAGGCACTGGTAAGAGTTCTCTGGGTCAGGTGTGGCTGGTGTGGTGAGTGGATCCGGGGAATCCAGGTTCTCAGAACCACTACCATCAATACCGAAATCACCTACAGATAAAGCATAAGCAAAAAAGTTAAATTGAACAGTGTGGTCCACAGGGGTAGATCTAGTATATATGTGTTACTAAACACATGGGTGAGTACTGCTAGCAATCCACTCTTGGAGCTGTCTTGTCCACGGAAAAAAAAAAAAATGAGAAGGGGTGTTAAAATATGAAAGTCATAATATGCTCAATGCTTTCCTTGCCACAACTCGGGTAAGTGACCAGCTCTTTAAGACCCTGTTTGTGAATTCACCCATGTAATGTAAAAACTCTCATAAGCAGCCATGGCCAGTCTTTCCCTTTGTTTTAAAGTTCTCGTAAAAGACTGCTCAGTTAACACTTTCTTCACTACTTGCACCACATGGATGCTTATGAGAGGCCATTCTTGTAAATGACCTTTTCTTATTGCAACCACAGTTATGGATTCCCAAGGTAGTCACTCAAAAGAACATTGTATCTGTATCATTCATCTGAAAACAAAAATATCAGTTACACTTCTAAACAAGGAAATTAACTGCTAACTGCTTCCAAGTACCTGGTTCTGATTTCAAAGATCCGAGCCTGAGAGAAGAAATTCCATTTGTTGTTAAAGTTTCACTGCACTCTGATGATCTCTTCCTTTTTCGTTTAGGTTCAGAGGAGACACTACTATTAAGAAGTAGAAAACAAACCAAGCGCACAATAATTATGCATAATAGATAAATAGATAACAAGACAGTTATTCCTTTGCAGACTGTGCCCTCATGGGAGATTTAGAAACAAAACAAATAATACTGTGACCAAAGGGCAACCCTAGAAAGAGATTCCTATCACTTCAGAGAACAGCTGCTTTAGTTTAAAAATGTGAAAAATGGTTTGACCTAGAAAAAACTTACAACATTTCAACTATCCAATTGTAACTTCCAAAACTCCACTGACACTAATTCACCTTAATCTGTACATAAATATTGCAAACTAGAATTCTCTATTTTCCAATTGCCCATAATACACTCTGTTTGCCCCCCAAATTCTGCATAAACCATTGTTTTTAAATGCTCCTGGGAGTATTGCATTTTCCCAAGAGCATTTTAAGACAATAAGTTATGCAAGTCACCTGTTCCTAAGCCGGCGTGCTCCAAGTATTCCCGGCTGTAGCGATATCTGTAGAGCTTCATTTTTGACACATTTTTAAGTTGTTCACTTGTGTCCACCTGAATCAAAACCAACGACAATCAAAAGGTACAGCTGTAACATGTCTTTCGCGAGCTTATGAAGACAGAACGTGACGGAGGTTTTGGATGTCGGGCATTACCATAAAGTTTTAAACTTCGTCGAAACCACACTCTTAACAATCAATTATTTGAGATTATACAACAAAAACGAGTGTTTGATCAACTAAGCAACTTCAGTTTCGGTGTCCGCAAATCGGATGAAACATTCCCTCTATTTTTTTTTTGTACGAGAGTGTTCGCTAAGAGAGTTTTCACTGTAACATAAATTAGATTGATCTGTGCAATGTAAGGAGAGAGTTTTGACTGGTTTAGGGACCATGGTATACGAAATACAGTTCAATCCTTAAGAAAAAGACGCCATTTAACTTCTGCCTGGTAGAGCTGTGGTTCTTCAAAAATGAAACAGGCATATTAATCAATGCTTTTATTTTCCTTTTGTTATTCATATTTCTAATGAAACAGTTATCCTACGCGCGCCTATTTACTACCAGACGGTTGGTACATGTCCCACATACCTCTTCAATGGATTCCTTGACTCTGCTGTCAGAGGGATGAACAAGCCGCCCCGTCACCTTTAGGTTGCCATGAACTGACAGAGCTTCCTCTGGTTTGTCAGTATTGATGCCAACGCGACCCTAAAAATATCACATTTATATAGGGTCAGAATGTTTAGAAGTGCTTTATCCTGCGCAGCTGCAGGGTTCAGAGTGTGCGCATGCTTTTTTGCGGCAGAGCCGCTAGTACAGAAAGGAGAGTTTCGGCACTGACTCATTCCTATTCTTTTCGCAGCTTTACAGCCCAAACAAAGGCCACAGAAAGTACCCGTTGAATATAGCAAACGCGCGCGATAAGTCCAGACCGCTACGGAGGCCAGAAGTGCTTGTTGTTATGTTTCCAGAATCTTTGAAGTGTTTTTCACTAACAGTACGTCAACACGGTTTACTTGTATAAATGTTAAATAGATATTCTCCTGCAACGGTCTAGTTTCATTTAAAACTATGATGAAGACGTTGCGATAAAGTTGGACAATTTTGCCACTTTTCAAAGAAAAATAATCCACTCCGTAGCTTTTTATCATTTATCACAGAGTATAACGTGTCTAGTAAGTGTCATAGAACCGCAAAGAGAAACTGACGGTGGCCTCAGATGGCGTAGATCGATAAATTAATCACCACGCTTTCCCTGGTTATGGTTCCTTTCTTTCTGCAAATTGTCCTCGTGTTTAACAAGAGCAACAAATCCCACTAGTAGAGAGTGTAAGCTTATGTTACCTTTTCGACTTTCGTCTGCCATTGTAAAAAGGTTTCAAGTCAAAAGGTTTTCCCTTTCGAGTTTTCGGACTTAAGGCTGAACACACATGCTGATTAACCACTCTCTATTTGGGCCTTTTTGGTGATAATACCTTCAACAAACAAATACGCTATCTAAAAACTAAGTTAAATAATATGCACATTCTAAGTTTAACACTCTCCTTACCATTCGAAAAACGGAGTCTGTAGTTTGACCTCTGGACCAAATAACCTCCATATCATTTTCAAACTGGCCTGGATTGGAAGCCTAAAAATTAGTTATTCAAGAATTAGAATCAAAGTACACTATGCAGAATTTTCTTTCCGATTCGTAAAAAAACTATGGGATAACATGAGATGCAACAGAGAAGACCGGGATGAAAAAAAAGGTGCATTTACAGCAGTCAAGAGATGCAGTGTTCTAAAAAAGGTATGTGAAAGGGTTAGAGTACCATTTGCTAATAAAAGGTATAAAAAAAGGGCACCTTTTCTAACAAATATGGTATGTAAAAGGGCAAGGGCTTGGATCTAGGGGCAGAGCCTCCCCGTATAAAACTATGGTGAGTGCAACTAGGGGTATGGTTTTTTGTCAGACATGGGCAAATTTTACTTGCACATAGTTTGATGATTGAATTGTTATTTGCAGCTTCGATCAACATTTCTCAAGACATGATGAACAACAACAAACTCCTCACCCTAACGATAATCCTCTCTGAGACGTTGGCACAGACTAAATATTCTTTGTTCTTTGAATGTGCATAGACCGCCACAACTAGCAAGAAGTATCTGTGAATATAATAACTCAGTCAATCAATCAATTTATTATATACAGCTCATGAATCAAATTTTCAAATGTAACTAAGACTTGAAAAGGAATAAAATGGAAAATAAAGCAAATGATTTGTCAGACATCAAGAATATCAACGTGAATGAACCTAGAAGTATCTACACTGTATATAGCCAATTGTCAACTTTCAAGTCTCCTATACAAACACCTGGGACTTTGGTTGGAGTCGTCTTTATCACGGGATTATCACATTAACTCAATTTGTGCTAAAGCTAACAAGGTCTTGGGCTTGATTAAAAGGACATTCGGTTATTCAAACAAGACTAGTATCAAGACAGCTTTCAAGGCGCTAGTGATACCTATCCTCGAGTACGCCTGCCCAGTCTGGAACCCTTATCTGGTGAAACACACCAAGGCAATCGAAGCAATTCAAAGAATAGCGTCCCGACTAATATGTGGCCCCGACAGAGAATATCCTGAAAGACTTTTAGAGTTAAAATGGGACTCTTTAGAACTGAGACGGAAATATCTTAGCGTAGTTCAAATGTATAAGATTATATTTGGTTACTGTGATATCAATTGCCATCATTACTTTGATATTATTGGAATAATTCGAACTAGAAGTAAGCATGAGTATAAAATAAGGCCTAAAGTTGCCCGTACAAATTATTTTAAATATTCATTTTTTCATAGATATATTAATGATTGGAACTCTTTGCCTTCTGAAGTAATGTCATCTCCTAGCCTTCAGTCTTTTAAAGTTTCACTGATTAAGTACCTTCGCTCATAATTTACATACTAGGCATAGTGTCTTTACTATAAGTTTATGCATTATTAGGTTTATAATTTATAGTCTAATTTATAGTCTTTTAATATATGTTTATATATTAATTAATTACTATTTTTTTCTTTTTTCTTTTTTGGAGGGTATGTCTTAGCATGGGAATTTGGTTTCCCCCTACTACCGTCCTGTTAACCATTTTTGTATTTTTGTTCGATTGTATATGTTAGTATTAGTTCATTTGTATCAGTTATGTATGGTTACGAACTGTGATTAAAGATTAAAGATATAGTCTCCGCGGCAGGATTAGCTCAGTCGGTAGGGCGCTTGACTGCAGAGCGGGTGGTCCCGGTTCGATTCCTAAGGCTGGACCACTACTCAAGGTCATAAAATAACTGAGAAATAAAGGTACTCCTTTGCACTGCGCGCTAGCGGCTTGACCTTCACGTGGCTCGGATGACCAGGTAAAAAGGTGGTCCCGACTCCAGTAGGAGACGTAAAAAGTGTCCCCAGTTAGCACTTTCGTTCCAAATACATTGACACTCAAATTAAGTGCCTTTTTTATATAGTTCAGTACATAGAACATCCAATCTGTAAGTCATATCTGCCAACTGGAGGACTATTGTTTTGACTCTTGATGGAAAAATCCTAAACATTTCTACTGAGCCTTCTGTTACTAATGACCATTTGGTCCTTCTCGACCAAAAGTTCTCATGCTATTAGAAATAATCAAGGAACATTGCTGCAGTTACCTTTGGTCAGGATTTGGTTTTCCTTTCTTTCTCATGTTGTTTGCTGTTGTTTCACTATAAAAGATTTTGTTGATATGTAAGGGACCCCGAGAGTCTACATAAACATCTTGAAACTTCTACTTCCCTTAAATAAGTAGACTGTATTCCCTCCAGAAAGGCCCCTCTACCCCTCCTCTAAGTCAAATTTTTGCCTTGGGGAGGGATGGGTGGGCAGTTAATTGATCCATCCAGTACAGTTGAAATAATTGGTTGATAATTGCTGCTTCATCCTCACTCCTTTCATCTTTCAAGAGGAAATTACTGCTATACATGCTATGAATGTGTGCTGTCTTTGAAAACAAGTGGATGATGTTTGCATGCAAATTCACAAAATCCTGTAATACTGGGTAATTATGCAGGAAAGTTTTCCAGTTACAAAGTCGGCCAATACGCAGCAATGAATGCATGTAATTGAAGGGAAAATACCAAGGTGTACCTAACTGAAAAAAGGGACCGATAGGATGGAAGGCCACGAAACACAGAAACTGAAATTCAAACGCAAATATCATTTAACCTTGTCTCTAGCAGAGAGAATGATGGAGTTCAACAATGCAGTTCTAACGTTTGAGTCTGTTACAAAACTCTGAGATGTGCCCATTTTTAGAAATGAAACTTCTTTGTCAGTACTTTCATTAAGGTTCTTTCTTTTGATTTTTAAGTATTTTACCAAAGAAAATATGAAAATTTTGTAGATTTGACTTCTAGGAGTGAAAGGTTTAAGAAAGAGGGGTGTGCAAATCTTCATTAAAACTTGCCTAATATCAGACGAAGAAAATACACTTGTCAACAGTACCTAAAATGTAGTCTTCCAACTGTGATCTTTGCTTGTTCGTTTGGTGATATGTGAAATCTGAAAATCATTTAAAGATCAGTAGAAGTAAGTCAATAGCAAGTACAGTTGCACCCCTATAAGAGGTCACTGCCACAGAACAAGTATGTGGTTGCTTTAATAGTTAAGGTTGGCTGTGGGGAGAGATTCTGTTTACAGCAATTTTGTAATTACTGGCATTTTTTCTCCTGGAACCTGGTAACCTGGTAGCTAAATGGATAGCAGCTCAACTAAGGTCTGGCTGTAACCAAAAATATCAGTCTTGCAAATTTACTAAGAAGAAATTTTACCATAAAAAAAACTTGTAAAAAAAATTAAAGAATAACATACTGTAAAGGTTCATAGTGACGTTTGCTTCTGTCAGCCTGAGACTGTTCCACGCCAATTCTACTAGCCTGGGACTCCATCTAAATAAGTGGAATGAATATTTATAGTACTTACAGTGTACGTATATTAGGCCTAACAACTTAACTAGTGGTTAAAAGGACAGTGAGAGCTTAAAAGAGAGGGTGTGTTATTAGAGAGATTAAAAAAGGCCCACAAAGGGTTAAATAAACGATTGACGACTGAGAAAAATCTTTGCAAAGATTTTCACAAAAAGACCATGTATCATGTGGTCAGGTCATAATGTTCTCAAAAAGCCACGCAATCTCACACACCTTAATTCCATACAGATGTAAACAGAACTTCTCAATACGTCTCAGCTCATTTTGCTGAAAAAGGACAACTTTATAATGAGACATTATAAGAGTAAAAAAATCAAACTTCTAAAGTACATTAGAACTACTACACCCACCCAGTAAATGGCAGATTTCTTGAAGGCTCTTGGTAGATCCCTTTCATATGTTAATAGCAAAGTTTAACTTAAAAAAGTGTTTTATGATTATAACCACTGGTGGAGGTGGAACACAAATGGCTCAATTTTATATTAATAGCTTTGAATGAACTCTACTGGTTTAAGTGATAATGAGCACTTCCCTTTTAACAAGAAATTCCACAATTTCAGTTTGGGGTGTAAATGAAAAACATATGTTTTTGGGCATCCCACAGGAAAATTCCCAGGAATGAAAAAATAAAAAAAACACAATGAAACTTTCCGAGAATGTGTGTTTCATTAACAAGTTTTCATAAGGATTCATCAGTTCCAGTCAGTTCCAGGCTAATTTCATGGCAATATTTTTGCCACCATCTTAAATTCTGGCAAGAGAGAGAGGAACAAACATGCTTTACTTGTGTCAAATAGAACATGTTCTTCGCCAAAGGGGCCTTCCCAGTGAAGTTTCCCAAAGTGTCTGGTCAATGAAAAATGCCCAATGTGCAATTAGAAGGGAAAAATTACTGCCATGAAATTTCAGCTGATGCCTACTAACCTCCCCTCTGACATATTTGGGAGTTTGTTCTGATTGAAGGCTCATGTACGCTGTTACCTGTAAGACAATTATTATACCTAATTAAAATACATATTATTATTAAGCTAAACACCCTTCAGCCAAATAAGAGCAGTTTGACCTTCCCTTAAACAGGAAAGCCTTTTTTTATGGCAAACAGCGCACACAAAGTTAAGCTCGGTTACATATAATGAAGCCACACTAAGAGACTTTAGGTTAGGTTTGGTAAGAAGACTTAAGTTGGAAACAGGACATGAAATTTTAATTTTCCACACATGGTAGGTTTCACTTGATAGTCTATGGGTTAAGTGTTTTAGATCACCAACTTCCACTATAGTTACAGCCCTGGGATGACTGTAAGGACACAAGGGACACAAGACACAAGGGAAACTGGGTTTGTGATGTTCCTTAATTACTGCAACGCTTTTGTCTAATAAAAATGTCGCAAGCCCCAAATCTCCAAACCAGTGAGCTTATGTTTTATTACCTTTCATAATATTCTGGAATTTGGTCAATCAAACAGGCCATCTAATCTGTACATTTAAATAGCAAGAACTGGTAGTGCTCAATCACAAATAATAATACAAATCAAAAGATATATATTCCATTAATAACTTTTGCTATGGTCAAATACCTGAAGGTGATTCTTCTTTTGACAAACAAAGGCCTCGTCAGCAAATGAATAGTTAAAACCTTTATCAGCATCCACTCTGAAGAGAGGAGGAGGTCTAAAGAGGACAAGTACAAATATTATTATGGAAAAATATCACACAAATACTATACACATGTTGAATTTGCCTCACTTCTTTCCAAAAATGTCAATTCCCAGTGGAACGTGACTCACACCTGCAATTTCATTTTCAACATTAGGTTACCAGAGAGCAAAACTAATGGTGAGTAAACTGTGAATCACAAAGGAACATCTTTGGAGGCATGAGCGATTAATTTGTAGTGTTGCTGGAGAAACTGTACCATGGGTACCAGAGACTTTTCATGGACAATTTCTGGTTTCAGTCAAGTCTATAGTGGCCTGGCGAAAAGCTTTGCTGCTTGGCCTTCAGCTTCCACCCAAAGACACCAGCGTATCTGCCAACACGTGAGAAAAAATCTTCTCGTATCCAGGATAGAAAATCTGAGATAAAGCTAAGACAACAAAAGCAGCAAGAAGACTTACATTCTCTGGGAGGCATCATCATACATGATACAGCACTCATCAGGTTTAAATGGTAACCACTTAAGGCACTGGTAGGAGTTCTCTGGGTCAGGAGTGGCTGGTGTGGTGAGTGGATCCGGGGAATCCAGGTTCTCAGAACCACTACCATCAATACAGAAATCACCTACAGATAAAGCATAAGCAAAAAGTTAAATGGAACAGTGTGGTCCATAGGGGTAGATCTACTATATATGTGTTACTAAAACATATGGGCGAGTACTGCTAGTAATCCACTCTAGGGTTACCCCTCCACAAGAGAAAATTGAGGTGGAGCTGTCTTGTCCACAGAAAAAAAAAAAGAGAAGGGGTGTTAAAATATGAAAGTCAGAATATGCTCAATGCATTCCTTGTGACCACTCGGGTAAGTGACCAGCTCTTTAAGACCCTGTTTGTGAATTCACCTATGTAATTAATGTAATAACTCTCATAAGCAGCCATGGCCAGTCACTGGCCCGTCTTTCCCTTTGTTTTAAAGTTCTCGTAAAAGACTGCTCAGTTAACACTTTCTTCACTACTTGCACCACATGGATGCTAACGAGAGGCCATTCTTGTAAATGACCTTTTCTTATTGCAACCACAGTTATGGATTCCCAAGGTAGTCACTCAAAAGAACATTGTTCATCTGAAAACAAAAATATCAGCTACACTTGTAAACAAGGAAATTAACTGCTAACTGCTTTCAAGTACCTGGTTCTGATTTCAAAGATCCGAGCCTGAGAGAAGAGATTCCATTTGTTGTTAAAGTTTCACTGCACTCTGATGATCTCTTCCTTTTTCGTTTAGGTTCAGAGGAGACACTACTGTTAAGAAGTAGAAAACAAACCAAGCATACAATAATTATGCTTAATATGTCAATAGATAACAAGAGAGTTATTCCTTTGCAGACTGTGCCCTCGTGGGAGATAGGAACAAAACACATAATACTGTAACTGAAGGGCAACCCTAGAAAGAGATCCCCATCACTTCAGAGAACAGCTGCTTTAGTATGAAAAATGTGAAAAATGGTTTGACCTAAAAAACTTACAACATTCCAACTATCCAATTGTTGTTTTCACATTCAAGATATATAAAAGACAGAAAATTGGCACGTTTTTATATTATAATATTAGGACTGCATGAATGTGTAACTTCCAAAACTCCATAAAACTAGTTCACCTTAATCTGTACATAAATATTGTAAACTAAAATGAACCATGACACACAGGTGGGATTATAATTAAAAGTTCATAATAGTACCTTCCTCGTCTGTTCTTTATTGAACGTTGATTAATAATAGAAAAGGTAAATGTAGTTTGATTCTCTGAAACTTTCAAAGAGGTATGGACTGACTGACACTGTCTTTAAGGACCCTCGAACCATGCTGCAAAATACTTGAATGCTGTTGTCCCCCATCAGGGAGTAACAGAGATGGCAACACAATGGCATGCATGCCAGGTACACTCCCAGATAAAAACACTAAAAAAAAAATACATAAAGCAGTAATAAAGGTCACAGCACAAACTTCCCCAAGATCAAGATATAAGATAGGGTTCCCATATACTCAGTGAAAATTTGTCGTTGATGGCATTGTTCTTTTACATGACCAATGTAAGCAAATCTCTATTCGCCCTACACGTAAATTTAATGGGCTGGGGCTCTAGCAAAAAACCTTCCCCTAACCCCACAGCAACTCATGATCCATTGTCTTTGATCAGGTCCTAAAGTATGGTGAAGAGTATCATGGCTGGATTGTGGTTATTGTTAGTCATGGGAGTAGTACTCTGTCTAGGGGCTTGCCTCAAAAGCAAGATTCCTGGAGATCCCAGCTAATGCAGAGTCCCATCCTCCATTTAGCAATGAAGTTGGTTATAAAGAACTAATTTAAACATTACCACAGTTGCAAATTTCAGTTTGGGTATTTTTAATTTGTATCAAATGCCTTCGCAATTGATAAGATCTCTAGGCCTGCCAGCACTCAACTTAAAAAAGTTATACTTCATGTGTATAATAGCTTCAATTTATATCACCTGTTAAGGTATCATCCACCCTCAAGCATGCACCCTCCTCGCATTGATCAGCGCTAGTGCTTTTGCTTTTACTAAATACCCTCATATACTGTACATTTTCTGAAAGCTTGATAGTTCCAGCTTATCCCTTATTCCTTTTAAAAAATAATGAATGCCCCCGAGATTGGAGTATAGGGCTCAGGCTTCTCCCAGCCATGAGCCCCTTCTCTCCAGGCTTGGTGGTCAGCACGGAGGTCCCTTTGGCATGGCCTGGGGGCTTAAGGTTGGAAGGCGCGGGTTTACCAGCCATGAAGGAGTAACTCTGTCTAGGGGCTGCCTTTGCCAAAAGTGGAAGCCCCTGGACAACCCGGGCACCCACCTCCACTAAGCGACGCAGTTGTTAAAATAGTAAATACATTTTATACTGTTCTGATTGATGCTTTGTAGTTCTCTCAAACCTTGATCTCCATCTGGAGAGTCCGGCCCATCCGAATCTGGTGGAGTAAGAGGCGAATTTTTGCTACGCCGATGTCCTCCAAAGTTAGGAATGTCTATTGGGCTAACAAAAACAAAGAATACAGATGAATGCCATGGAATGCTGCCTTACAAATGAACAACATAATAATGGTCCTCAAGTTTACATTGGTCCATAAAATTTTGTGTTGTTGCCAAATCAATAGACCAAAGCAATTCAGTCCGTAAACACCGACATACAAATCCTTCTAAATTTTGAAATTTCCAACTGTCATAAAAGCTTTCCCTTAAGGCAATGTTACAAGGCTCAAATAGAAATAGTAAGTGAAAGATTTTAAGACAGTTCAAAAGTTTCAAAATTTAAGAGGACTGGAATGGAAAACCACACAATCATTGCAAGAGTTGATTTTTCCCATACATATCCTTCTATAAATTTTCAGTGGCCTTTGCAATTGCTACTTTTGAGATAAACTGTCAAAAAAATTTACAGGTTACCTGTAGTTAAATCATTTTTCCACAAAGATATTTTTTACAGAAAGTTGATCTTTGCAAGAGTTGATTTTTCCCATTATATCCTTCAATAAATTTTCAGTGGCCTCTACAATCGCTACTTTTGAGATAAACTGTTAAAAAATTTACAGGTTACCTGTAGTGAAATCATTTTTCCACAAAGATATTTTTTACAGAAAGTTGATCAAAAGACTTAACATTGCAAAAGACCTATTTTCACCCTTCAGTGCTAGCTATATTATAGGACATACACATGACATTTGGAATGTAGGGTCTTTTTATTTTATATCTAAACCATTTCCTGGTGTCTTACTCCCTGACCTGACCCATCCAGATGTTCTTAGGGGTTCGTCGCGTGTTCCTGCCCCATTCAACACACAACATTGCAGAGATGATTTAATCATGATTTTTTATATATCATTTAGAGCTTGAAATGATGAATGCAGCAGATTCCGAGAAATAATGAAAGAAAAATAGTTTATTTGTCGGTTAATTATTAACAAACTCCAGCCCAACCTCCATTCAAGATCGAGGCACCTCTATTTGAGGGACACTTGCCTGGGTCCCAAGGGTGTCCCTTGAATGGAGGTTCCACTTTAGTTTGTTCTAAAAGTTTGAAGTCTTCACCTTTTATGAGACCTTTCTGATCTTTTCTGGAATCTCGCAAATATTTCTCAAGGTCCGAAGTGCACTTCCCAGATCTGGAAGTGTGCTGTGATTGGTTTACGTTTATGACGTAAAAAAACGATAGTGTCCTTGCAGGCCTTCCCTTCCCTCCTTGCGCACCCCTTGCGCTTCTTTCACATCTGAAATCCCCTTTCCCTTCCCTTTCGAATGCCTGCCACACAGGCTATGCTGATCTCCAAATCTTATGACAACAACGAGAAACAGAAACATGAACAAATTTACATGTACATCTCACTGGTACCCCAACATCAGTATGGAATTTTTTGCCCAAAATTAAATGCAGATGTTTCTCTTGAGAAACCTCTCCAGTGAGGGTAACCAAGAGGGGTGGCTGTATTTGCAGGCTTATTCATGGGCTGAGTGGAATATAGGGCCCTGAGAGACTTTTGATCTTTTATCAAATTCTCTGTCCCCTTTTTTTTGGTAAATGAGCATCACAAATCCAAGTAAGAGGAGAATCTAGAATTTTATCAAGCGTCACTTGAAACTCCTTCTACATTACTTGAAAGGATGGTTTATAATCGTAACTAACACTACATGTAGTACTGTATATACTTACTGTCCCACAGAAGCCACCTGGCCATCTGAAGGAAAACCAAGGTTTCCTGTTCAAAAGAACACATCAGTACTCAGCTTTAGTTTCATTGAAACCACTGACTGGCAAGTGAGTATGCCATGTAGCACAAAATTTTTCAACTTTTGTGATTATTCTGGTGATTTGCAAAAATAAGTTCCTGCAAAAAATAATTACTGCAAACTTTTTTCCTGCAAAAATTTATTCCAAATTAAATATTCTCTAACTTAAATTCACTACACACAAATACAGTACTAAGACTAAGTACTAATTGTGTCTGTTTCATGACCAGTCTCTTTCATTCAGAAACAAAACAGTATGCAAATATCGATATACAAAGGGTAAGCGCACTATAGTATTGTTTAAAAACAAACTGAAAACTGAAAATAGTTTCANGACTGGCAAGTGAGTATGCCATGTAGCACAAAATTTTTCAACTTTTGTGATTATTCTGGTGATTTGCAAAAATAAGTTCCTGCAAAAAATAATTACTGCAAACTTTTTTCCTGCAAAAATTTATTCCAAATTAAATATTCTCTAACTTAAATTCACTACACACAAATACAGTACTAAGACTAAGTACTAATTGTGTCTGTTTCATGACCAGTCTCTTTCATTCAGAAACAAAACAGTATGCAAATATGGATATACAAAGGGTAAGCGCACTATAGTATTGTTTAAAAACAAACTGAAAACTGAAAATAGTTTCATTGATTTGTCAGGGACTTTCTGAAAATCGCAAAAATTAATTCCCATCAACAAAACCAATCTGTCCTAAACACAAAAATTAGCTCCCGCAAAACACAAAAAGTCATAGATGCACAAAAATAAACTCTCTCAAAAATTTCGTGCCACACGGTATGCAATGTCAGCTAATACAGTGTAGACAGAAGTTCCCTGTTGAAAAAGTGGGCTTGTCTCAAAAGCTTTCCGGCCTGTATTTATTACTTAGTAATTCAGGGAAGCAGCTCCTTAATATAAGACCACACAGGGAGATCATGTTCAGAAGGGTTTATAACAGGAGGCTTCATCAAATTTAGGTTCTTATATAGGAATGCATTCTTTTTCAAGAATTCTATCATGGTAACTTTTGAAAAACTGGATATGGGTGCTTATATTGCATTTACTAGGCATGTCACATATGCATCACTGATTAAGCGTATTGGGTCAGGTGGCTGGATAATGACCAACAAGATCAAGTCTTTTTTCATAAAATGTAAAAAAAGAACATGACCAATACTGAGCGATCTTGATTCACCAGCCTCGGTCAATAAAGGATTCATTATATGGTCAAAACAAATCTTTTCTATCAGGAAACGGCAGGTAATCTCAAGCAGGCAAGATTGGCTCATTTTGCCAGCTCGGGTAGCCAATCAGAACACAGGGTTCACATCATCTCTCCTGCTTCCAGAGCCAACAATGTAATCCAGCTAGTTAAATATCTCTTAACAGACACCTTGACATGATGCACATCTTACTAAAATCGACTGCCCAGCTTTTCTTTACTCCTTTTAGGTGACCAGGGGTTTCAATAAACACTGACGAACGCCAAAACACATCTGCTACTCTTTCATTCCCGAAAAAAGAAGGAACTACATTTAATAACATTGTAAACAAATAATATATCATTGATGGAGCGGCTGATAAATCAAAACTTGAATGAACCCTACATTTTCTTGCATGTACTCAATTTAATCTCCAGAATGCTGGAAATTGCATTTGAAGGCATTTCATTTTCAGAATTTTCTGGGTGAGCATGCTCTCCCAGACCCCATAGAAAAGGGGGAGAAATGTGGGAACTCCTTGTCAATACAGTCGGCAGGAGTCCATCAAATGGAGCCTCCATCTCCCATACAAGCCCTTGGAGTCAACGTACGGAAACTCACGGAAACTCACGGAAATATGACACTTTTCACGGGAAACAAGCCATTCTATTTATAAATCTCCTCGGGAAAGGGTTGACTCAAGAAATTAATGGAAATGGAGGCTCCATTTGATGGACTCCTGCAGTCGCTTAATCTAGTCAAACCTGCTGGCTACTTTAATTATTATTGAAACCCCTGGGTGACCCTCTATAACATGGTCATCTCTCTGTCCAACACATTGTGCTGGTCACAAAGGTGTCAATCTCACAAAAATTTCACTTTAAAATTTAGGACCGTAAATCCTCTATTTAGCCCCCCCCCCCCCTCTCAAATGAGCCTCCCTCTAATAAGCCCCCCGCCCCTTTCAGACCTTTTCAGGGCAAGAAAGTTAGTAAGCTCCCTCCTCCCCACCCCTAATTATTCTTCACTAATAAATTAATGATAGATTGTATTAATCAATCACGACTGTAAAATTTTGTGTGGACTGATCTGGGATGGTTAATTTACCAACTGAAAGTTCAGATTTGATTCTGATCCTCAACTGCATGACCGAAAACTTNCTTCACTAATAAATTAATGATAGATTGTATTAATCAATCACGACTGTAAAACTTTGTGTGGACTGATCTGGGATGGTTAATTTACCAACTGAAAGTTCAGATTTGATTCTGATCCTCAACTGCATGACCGAAAACTTCTTGTTCTTAAACTTCAGCACTTTGTATTCTAGTTCTTTATGGAGAACTGATACCATCATCTTTTCTAAATTAAATAAGCTCCCTCCCCTCTCAAATAGCCCCTGTCTCTATTCAGCCCTCCCACAAAGGGGCTTGAAATAAATAAGACCCTGGCCAGCTTAATAGAGGATTCACGCTATTTAATAACAGTGACACTGATAAAATTGAATATGGAGTATTATACCACTATATCTTGCTCCTAAATTGAAAGAGAGTAAATTGTCCTGACCAGCTACATCATCTGTAAATCCAAAATTTAGTTGCCCAGTTCCATCATTACACCTAGTATATAAAAAAGAACGCAAAGTAAATCAGGTAAATGAAGTATTTCAGTGTTCTGATCGTGAGTACTATTTGAAACAAACCATATATGAACTTGGGATAAAACAAATGTTTACAGATGTGTTCTCATAGTTTTATGGTCAACCCAAGTGATCCAAAAAGAACCTAAGAAATTTAGGTAGCCTGTATAACAGGTGCTTTATGAGCCAAGCGAGGTGAATGCAACATTTTGCGCGAAGCGTGAAACAAGTGCGAAGTGCGAGACAAGGGGAGGAGAAAAATAAAGCGGCTGTTACCAGTCCATTGTTCTGGCTCTTCCACCCACCTACGCCCACAAATATTGACTGACGGTGGTGATGTCAAAAAGACCAATCAAAACACAATCCATAACTCAAAAATTGTCACCTTTCTAGTCTAAACTGTCACACATCTACAACCACAGGTTAAGGGGCAGAGATGTATGACATTTCAGACTGTCACCTTTCTGCCTACCAGAAACACGCACAGCAGCATAACCCACGGGAAAAAACAACTACCAGGCCATGAATCACCTTCAAGACTCAGCACAGTGAAAGTTTCAGTCTCAGTCAAAGTTAAGTTTATGTCCAAACACAGTGGCGAGAAAGAAAGAGGGAAAACCTGTCATTCAAACAAATTTCCAAGGTCATGTTTCACATCATCGTGAGCTTATGAGTCGTGTTTAATTTGGCCTGTCAACAATTGATTTCAAAAAGTTAATAAAATCAGTCTTTTTCCAAAGACACCTTTCCTCTTAAGTAATAAATTAAAAAATTTCTTTTGTTTTTCCTTTATTTCTAGAACATTTGGAAATAATCAAAGAGCTTCTCCAACAGCATCATCAAAAGAACATGACTGCATGGCGGCTATTTTGTTCCAGACAAATTAAGCCAGAATCTTGCCAGAACAACACATCAACAATTAACCAATTATTGGAATGCAACGTTCATGTAGTGAATGAGGGAAGAGCCAGAACAATGGACTGGTAACAGGCACTTTATTTTTCTCCTCCCCTTGTCTTGCGCTTTGCGCAAAATGCCGTGTTCGCCTCGCTTGGCTCATAAAGCACCTGTTATGCAGGCTAAAATTTAGGCAATGCATCTTGTCAGTGCAAGGACAGGATTCAAATTCCTGTCACTCCTAATTTTCTCATTTTTATCAGTTTAGCATCAAATTTAATGTTGTCTTCACAACATTATCTGCTGCTTAGTTAAAACATTCTTTGCATGACTGCCAGTGCTTATGTGTCAAATGAACTGTTTCATTCCATTGGTATTTACTTACCAAATTTCATTATTACTTACAGCATAATTAACCAGCTGAACTAATAACAAAAGAAAATGGCAACCTACTTCAAAATATACACAGTTCATATTTAAAAAGAAAATAACAAATTCAACAATAACTCTTCGGGCATTATTTTAATTTGATCTAAAACTCCCTATGAAACTCTATTAGAACAAAGAGACGTTGTCAATAATTAAAACATTGCTGTTTAAATTCAACTGAGTTTTCAAGTGTTCGATAAGATAACCACCGCATTTGTTTCTGGATGAATGATTTTAAAATTTATCTGACTTGAATTTCCCAAGCCTGTAAAAGTTCGCATGAAAGGTCATAAAAGGTCAGACCTTCCAATCTTCTGCTCTGTGTTATACAGTAGTAATTGCCAGATCTTTAATAACAACAGCAACAGATTTCCTGATGAAAAAATTGAAATAAACCTATAAAATTGTTCAAATAAAATTTCCAAAGGTTAGCGTGATGCTCGGTTGTTATTCAAGAAGCAAAGCAACTAATCACACTTGAAAAGACTAAACTTAGACTTGTGATTTGGCTGAAAACTTAAACCTTTACACGAAGAAAATGTAAATATTGACACAAACATGGGATCAGAGGCGGCGTTTCTCGTTACAAGAGAATTTTGCAAGTCTCGGAGAACAATTCAAAAGCATTTCCGGTTGATTTGTCGCATGAGTCCGTTGTCAGTCGACTGAAACATTTCTCACAGGTTTTAAAAACATAATAAAAAAGAAGGCAAAACTTGATTCACAGATCTTTAAGATAAAAAATGTAATCCCTCTTTAAAGCAAGAAAATCATTCAACGAATTACTAATCCATGAAAGACAATTGTATAAAAATTTTAAAACGCACGCATACACGCGTAAAAGAATACGCGTTGATAAACATTCTGAGAGCAAAATGGCAAAAATGAGCTAATAATTAACTGATTTTTAGTTGATCTCCAACAACGAACGATCAAAGTTCAACACTTCGCCACCAAGAAAAATCAGTAACACTTCCGACAGAAAAATGGAGAATCTATGAAGAAACATGAACTTAGGTCACTTAAGAGTAAAATCAATATAAATTTAAAGGCAGCTTAGAACTTGCAGGGATCATCTTTCTCTCACTGAAAGTGTTTACCTAAGAGTCCGAATAATTCATATATAATAAATCGCCGTACTTCAATTACCACGGATAATAAACCACTATTTTTTCCTTCAATTGTTTTGACGTATCGTCTGAGACTTGTTGCTTTTGCCGAAACTCATTAGTTCAATAGTCCAACAGATTTGACCTTCTCTGTGAACCGCGAAAAATACACTCAAAGCAAATTCTCTAATCGCCACAGGAAAACAAATAAAGTTTATAACCGTTGCTTGCGCATTACAATTATAAAAACAAGATAAAATAGCTTGATACATCCATTATATGCCCAACATCCCATTATTAGAGATTCACTGATGACCTGCTAGAAGACATGTCAAGTTTTCTGTTCTGTTCTGAAGTAAGAAAAGTGTTAAGTAACAATATTTTTCTTGGGAAATACTGTATTGATGCAGCATTTGTTAACAATTCTCAACGTTTTGGATAGAGCACTCAAAACCTCAAGACCATTTTTCCTGTGGCCTGAGGACAGAACTATATATGGCAAACTTTAAAAATAGCTTCAGCTAAAACAACAACTTGTGCTGAATATTGACGAACTTGACTCCGCTTTGAGAAGAAAATAAAAGAAGCAATATTGCCCGCTGACGCAAAATAAAGCCCCCTCACTTTTCCAAATACCGGAAATTTTACCAGCAAGCAGTATACTTGATACAAGTTAAGCCATTTTACAAATAAAATATAAGCTTAAAAGGAACGAGCATGTTTTAAAAGCGTTAAAATGAAACTAAGTTTGTTGCGGTATTTGGTAGAGTTCAAAGGAATTCAATTGGCACCAATTACTGCTTCATAACATTTTTAATTTGTAATTATGCTGTTCTGTGTTTGTGATGATAAGTTCAACGGATAAAGTAAGACATGCTCGGACTCGTCAATGAACTTTCGCGGTATTCAATTTCCNATAAGCTTAAAAGGAACGAGCATGTTTTAAAAGCGTTAAAATGAAACTAAGTTTGTTGCGGTATTTGGTAGAGTTCAAAGGAATTCAATTGGCACCAATTACTGCTTCATAACATTTTTAATTTGTAATTACGCTGTTCTGTGTTTGTGATGATAAGTTCAATGGATAAAGTAAGACATGCTCGGACTCGTCAATGAACTTTCGCGGTATTCAATTTCCTTTACAAGCCCTGAATGCGTGATTATTATGAAACGCTAGTGCGTGCATAATTTTAAGTCTTACGAATTAAGTGAAAAAAGTACTTACCCATCGTGGACGCCCACAACATCAGAAGAAAGATATTCTTCCAAGTAAGGAAAGTTTAAAACGTCTTTGTCTAGTTCTGAAATTGAAAAGGACCACACGGCTTTTCAGAAGCGATGAAGACGAATGAAGCAAACTGTAGTCAAAATAAGCACCTTGCAATCATCGACTGTTGCACTTGTGCGTCGTCAAGAAATTTGATTTCGTCGCACTTACCCAACGCAGAATGTAAATTAGGATCGTCTGAATGGTTCATAACTTGTTAAAGTCCTTTGCATCTAAGGCCAGTCTTTTTATGATTAAGAGATGTGAGTCGACGCTAGCCCCTCAAAAGACATCCTTTACCGTTTCGAAATGTGTAAACTCGGAAAGCTTTGAGCCGCTGACAGATAAAGCACGTGACGCGAGTGCTTAACTTTCTTGCTTTGTCATTATATCTCCAACTCGAATTACTTGTCAGTTTTAATCGTATCATTATACGTCCCAAAATTAATTACTTTTTAACCTAAAAATTTTCTTTTGAAAATAGCTTTTCATTCATCTGCGAAGGAAACTTCCTTTGTTCAATAACCTTACTCCAGAGATACGTCTGACCACGTCTGTCGGCCACCCGTGGTGGATTTCGCGCCTTTACAGACCAGCTAATATCGTATGTCCGGTTTGTTTATGTTCTGCCTCTTTTAACCTTTTTCTTTTTTTAAATAATTATTTCCCTAGGTCGACTAGGGATTTAGGGTAAAGAGAGAAAGAGACGGAAGAAAGAAACCACGAAATTAACCGCAACGTTGTTCTTCCCCTGGATCATGTGGCACCTTGACGCTACCCCGCTGGCCTTTCATTTGCTCGCCCGATTTCTTCAATCTGCTCTCTCCATTTTTTTACTGTCTGTTACCCCTATAAAACTTTTCCTGACTCCAAAGTAACATTACAATCAACTCTTTTAATATTGACCTATAATAAGTTAGCCCTTTGCCGTAGTGCCAGCCTTGCATTCGTTCAGTTTTGTTTTTAAAAGGCTCTTGTCCTCGGTCCCTCCTCGTGTCACTTCAGACAGAGTATATAACCACTTTGTTGTTCGTTAAGGGCGGACCATTAGAAATAACCGAAGCGGAGGTGAAAAAGTTTTAGTGCATGAATTTTTTTCAAAAGCCCGCTTGTCTGCAGGAATTTTTTCTAGGGCATATGACTTATTGTTTTTAGGTATCACCGCCTGCAGGATATTTTTTACACAAGTTTCCCTTGCTGGAATTTTTTTTTTTTTTGGGAGGGGGGGGGGGG